TACAATTTCGAAATTTAAATTTAATCTATGGGTATTACAATGCATAAAACACAGCATACTGCAAAAGCGTACATGATATGCAATAGCGGTTGTATAAAATAATTGACTGCAGTAAAAATGCTATAAACGCCGTTCTCCTTCACTTGCCATAAAACAGCGAATTTCACATTTAAACTTTAGCTCTCTTTAGGAAGAACTTCATTCTTGATATCCCACCCAGTCTGAGTAAACAAAGCCATTTGAATCAAGCCATCACAGGGAAATAATGAGATCATCAAGGGACACTATTACAACAACTGCATGGATTTTGTCACAACAATAATTGAAGATAGTTTTAAATTAGATGCAATCAGAAGAAAGGCGAGCTGTAAAAAAACACTCTTACGAGCCATTTGATGATGCTCAGCAAGTTAATCTGAAAGCGAAGGGGTCAGACAAGATTGTTTTCTCTCTCGCAGGGATGCTGAGTTCAACTTCCGTATAGCGAGGTGAAGGACTTAGCGCAAAGAAGAAGACGGTATCCATCAGCCTCTGCTCAATCAATACCACGACTTTCCTTAACGTGCTATTCTAAATAAATATTTGGTTAAGAACATTACGATTCAATACAGATTCTTCGTGCCGGTCGCAATAAAATCAGATGCATCTCTCGCTTGCGTTTAAATTCGAATTAAACTCTAATGAATCTGACGTATTATCGTCCACTATAGTTACTTTAATTTAAACAATGTGCATAAAGAACTTGCAATATATACCCTGGCTCTGAAATTGTGATTTGAGTACCTATAATGAAGACAAATTATGTTTTTTCATATTTTACATATATTTCACACAATCTGGACCAATGTGACCCAGTTTGCGCATCGGTTACAATGACAACATACTACGTTGCTTCACAACAACATCTATACCTGATATATAAAATACAAGTATAACAAGGGCCATGAACATTTTTTACTGAATATGATTTTAATTATAGCTGCATCACGTCCCAGCTTTAAATTTATATGTTACCCATTAATGCATAATAATTTTCAAAATATATTTAGTCATAAAGGAAATGTTGTAATCTGCTGTTGGTTTCATCCAACAGGTCTTAGAGATTGGACCATCATCAGTAGCAGAGATTTTCTGCTGCCCTATGTACACCAAATACATTGGACGTTTGCAGCAGGATTATTCCAACATGTAAACATTATCAGTAAATGGATTTCTAGCCAAATTCTTGAATCCTCCCAGGGCCCCATCCTGGGTTGTTCCCTGCCTTGTGCTTGTTGCCTTCGGGATAGGCTCCGGACCCCCCGACCCTGAATAGGACAAGTGGGCATGGAAAATGAATGGATGGATTGAATGATCTATCTTGATAACTATGTAGGCTATAAAACTGAAATCTATGTGTGTAATATGGGGAAAAATAATATGTGGATTACATGCATAATGCAGGGGAAAGCTGGGTAAAACAAAATCATTACACTGAACACAAGTGACAATACCACAATTAGGGTTTAAATTTAAGAAAAATACAAGGTATTGTTTGAATACAGAGCAAGCAGTATATTTGATTTAAAAGCAAGAACAGTGTTGAGCTGAGGTTATAGCTGAATGATATTTCAAAGAAGAATTTCATTTTAATTCAGAGCAAAGTTCAAATGTCTGAAAACAAAAATGGTTATTGATGCAAAAACAAGAAATTCTGGAAAAAGTTTCCTGAATATTGCGTAGTATATAAAATCCTAGCGCTACTGATGTGCAGTACTTCACAAATGCATAAACTTAATCAATGACACTTGTAACTGGGCATTAATTGGAAGTTCAGCCTAGCTGTACTTATGACTAGTTCTCTCCTCGACAACAGGTAGGCAGGATGCGTAACGTGCTATATTTGTCTCAGTTCTTCGCTTTGGAGAAAAGCGTTTGCTAAATAATTGTAAATGTAAACAATTATAGGTTAATAATAAAGTTTGTGCACCACTCTTAACGTTGTTACGCGTGACTTGGATTATGGAAACAAATTTATTGCCGTCACTTCAATGTTCAATGCTTGACAACTCAGTCAAAAACCTAATACGAACCTCAAAGAAAAGAACAGTTGAATGCACTTCTACGAGTGCTACTTAATTTAAACGTTTGTGCTGCTCCAAGTCATTTTCACTCACACAGCAAAAGAAGCTTCTGAGAAAAGAAACTTGTCATTTTCTCCATCCCTCGGGTCCACATTTCATGTTTAATACTCGAAACAAATATCTATAACCAATATTTCAGCATTTCTTCAGTAAACGTAACACATTAGACCTCAGTGACAGACTATTTTAAAATAAATACAGTCTACAGCGAAATATGTAGTAATATTTCAGGTAGTCATCTGGTGGCGGGCATCAGACTACTATACCCACAAAGCAAATTGCAACCATAAAAGTACGCGTTGCAGCTTAATATACATGACATTATACTGTAAACAGACGGGCTTTCACAAGTGACGCCCCTGTATCTTACAGTCGAGAGGCACGGTAGTTAAGACACGTCATATCTTGGATGAAATGTCAATTCTACGGTAGTTTCAGTCTCCCCATTTTAATTAAAATATTATATTACGCCAACTAAACACTGAAAAGTTGCCACCTAATAAAACTGGACATGACTAACAAATAACTAACAAATGAGACAAACAAGAATTAAGTGATGTCATTCGCAACAAACATTCTGCTCTAACTAAAATTGCCTCTCCTAAATTACAGCCTACTTAAACAGAACTGTATTTGATGCGTTCAGTTTCTAGGCCAAGTGTCTGTTGAACTTACTCGAGCGACATATTCTATATATGCATGACAACTTCATGACCTTTAATATCACATTTATACTCCTTAAAGGCATGAAGGACCTTCCTGAATGCTGAAAGATAGGTATTTGTTAAGCTTTTCAAAACTACCGTGCCGCCCAATCTCTTTTCCTCGTCTGTTCCATCTAATACACCCCTATCATGTGACAAGGTTGCTTACCGCGAAGGATTGTGGGACGGGTTGAATTACGTCATATATCGCTGTGAGGAGACTGCTGGTAACGTTTTGAATCGGGTTTTGCGACTGAGTTGACAGGTAAACTGTGGACTGAGAAGCGAAATAAACTACATAGAGTTTCCGGCGGTCTCATTGCCGCGAAGTATGAAGTAAATAATAGTTGTATTCCTTATTAGGAAGAATTGCAGAGTATTTTTAGCAAGTTAGGCCTGCTTTAATGCTTAAGATTTGGCTTCTGAATCCGTAGTGTCACCACTGAATTGTTTTTGCTAGCAAAAAAGGTAGTTCATAGTCTGTTTTAGAGCGAATATTGTTATTAGCGACGAATGCTAACTGCTAAAGGCTATGCTTGTGTTTAGGTGCATGTACCTACCCGATAATTAGCGCTTTATTTCCGATGTCAGAATCGTCTTAAGTTACCCAAGTGTTCGTTGCACTGTAATAATATTGTTTGCCCTGTTTTTTAAAGCTCTTTTGATTAGTTTGCTATGTGTTCGCCTTGAATTCAAATGAACCACCACGACAGCAGACGTTAAACGTTTTTTTTTTTGCGGTATTCGACTGTTACATACGGAAATCTAAGCAGCTCGGTATTTAGTGATTATATGGTTTATTAGGCGCAATAACAACACGAATCCATGGAAGTGTAGTGATAGTTTGGTCATTGGATCGTGGCGTAAGCCATCCTTTGCTGGACGCTATGTATGCAGCAGTACATTTATTATCGAATAGCTTTCAGATATACCACGCAGTGGGAGTTGGTGGTGTTGTAAAGCATGACTGACGTAAATAAAACTCCCTGTGTTTGATTGTCAACAGGTGGGAGGAAATTTGTGAATACCCCGAAGCGGAAATCGTATAGGGCATCTACCCGAGATGGGGTCCTTACTGTCCCGGTGGAAGGTTTGTATGGCTGCTGTTTCTGCTTACGTAATGGTACTAAGAATTTAAGGTGTATAAGACTTTTTCTGTTTCAGTCCATATGCTTTTCTAGCCATACTGTCACATTTTAAATAAATTATGACACTATTAAAAGAAGAAACTCTCGGATTCCCGATGGTGTTTGTGAAATCATGCATTTATAGGCATGTTGGGCAGAATTGGGTGGGGCTTAGGATATGTTTTGGGGCCCCATGTCGAAAATAGTGGGTTCTTTATTTTGGTATGTTTGCTGAACAGGCAAATGCTTGGAGATCTTTGGCTGCCTGCCTAGCTCACTACTACAACAACATGGAGTAGAGTTCCTAACAGGCTACTCCAGTATTTGTTAGGCTTAGCAGCTGGTTAATTTTAGTTAAAGCTAAATTACTTTCATGTTGGAACATATATAATTTTTTATTTAGATGTTTCTGGTGGCTGCAGTGTGGCACACTGATCAAAATGAGGTGTATCCTATGGTGGAGTTTAGAGTCCAGATTTGAGCTCACCGTGGTGCTTGGGGTCATGTGAGATGCTGTATTTGGATCTCTGTGGTGTGCTGCAGCATGTAAAAATAATTGAAAAAAAACCCATAGTATCTTCATTGTATGTAGTTTATTGTTGTATTAGTTTTTTTTCTCAGTTTCTATTTATCGTTTCTCAAAACTAAGGATGTGTCTGTTGGTCCAGCAGCTTCTGAGTATAACTGGGTTAACACCAGATTGAGTTTTCTACTAAGTGGCCAGAACATTATGGAATAGGTGCAAACATTAGTCTTTTTTGGACTATTTGAAACTCTAGTGGAATCTGTTGGCACTAGATTTCATTAATTAGCTTAATTACGCACAAGGAATATAGAACATTTATATTTATATCTCCTAGGAATAGCATTGTTGTTTTAGTATATGGTATGTACAATTTATAATGTTACTGGTGCTTGGTTGTAATATGGTGAAAGTTCTCGTGTTCTAAAATACTCAGTGCATTTAGGGCTGGATGTTTGGTAACAGTTTCAGATTCTGCCACCTTATTCCTATCCATATTTTATTGAGATTATGCTGGACCTGTCGCTCCTTTTGGTGGTTGTGCAGAGTTTCTGCTGCAGTCACGATACATAAGGTTGAACACAGCTCCACTATCCCTATACTATTGGCACTGTGAGATGACCACTTTGACCTATGCTGCTCCTATTACTATTTCTATTAATAGTGTGACTGTTGCTTATTCTATATAGTACACTTGTTTTTTCCCTAGGGCTTCATCTGAATGTTGGTAGAGGTCATTCTACACCAACACTATGTGCAGTGCTCCCTTCCACCTTCTCCTTCTCTGTGGGGTTTATTTCACTTTGAGTGCTGTAACTAAGATCTGTTCTGTCTTCTCTCAAACAGACCAAGCATTCTACAGTAGACATTTTGGAAAGCTTAGAAAAGGTACAGTTTTGTTTGTAGTTCTACTGTCTTGTCTACTTTTTTGTTAAAATCTTCCTGTATTTTTCACTCCCATACAACTTCTGTCTCATGATGTGAGCTGTTTATTCAGCTTGATTCCTAGAGTGACAGTCACACATGCTCACTGTGTTAATCTGTCTGCTTCATTTGCCCTGCTGGACATAGTCTCAGGAGCACACTCCACTTGTCTCTGAGAGAAAATTATCTCTGCCTTTCACTAGAAAACGGAGTGGGGGGGTCTGTTTTTTTTTTTTTTTTCTTACAAAATTTTCGTGTCATGCATTTTGTTTGAGCTGAATGTCATGACCTATAGGTTCCATGCAAAGAAAAAAAAATTCTTTTCATATTGTCTTCAATCCTTGTCACTATAATGGTAAACTTCCCCTCCAGTTAAATGTTTTGGTAGTTGGTTGTTTCCAGTGGTACTCAAGGAAGCAGGAAGTACCTCAGAAATCTGCAAAAATTTGTGTAGACTGTTCTGCAGTTTTTATTGCAGTATTTAACTTCTGATGTGCATCACTAGTGTACAAAAAAAACTCAAGTTATCATAAGATAGTAAGTTTAATTTAACTCAAACATATGTTTTCTTCCAGTGTTTAGTTTCTCCAGAATCGAGAGTGTTTGGCTGTAAAATGTCAGGGACTGCTGCAGGCAAATTTAGAATGGGTGCTTTGTAAAATGTCCTGAAAATAGACTGTTTTGTTCTGGTATGTCTAGATAAAGAAAATGGACCCTTTTGCTGTATTTATGGCCAGTTTGGCAAGTAGTGTTTAAGACACGAGGGTTGCTGTGTGCAAGGTGGCGGCGTGTGAGTCCAAGGAGCCGACCTCGGGGTTTATTGCTGTAATTGTGTCCCTTGTTACCACTGTGTAATGCCCAGCACTGATGATGCTGGAATACATGCATTGATCAGTCATGCACATACTCGTACAGTAATGCATTTTAGCAACGTTTGCCAAACTCCATTTATTTGAACTTTGAGGGGGTGGGAGTGGTGTGTCTAAAGCAGGTGTCCCCGATACAGAGAATCAAAAGTTATTGGTCAAATGTACCTCCCCCCTGGCTGGGCAATTGTTTTGGGGGATAGTGACCCTTGCCTTTGTGATATTGATAAAATTTGGCCCTCAGGGAAAAACACAGACGCTCCTCGACCTACGATGGACTTGTATTACGATGTACCTTTTCATAAGTTGAAAATATCGTAAGCTCTTGGGCGTTTTTAGTAAAAAAAAAATAATGGGCTTGGAAATTTTTTGGCGAAACTGAAACGAAACGCTGATACGTTGTTAAACACTGTATGATTGTGTTTGCAATTGTGTCAGAGACTGGAAGCGTGGCTGCGTGGATGCTGCCATTGCCCAGCATCAGTACAGAGTATCATACAGCGTTTTGGTAGCACCAGAACAGATCAAAATTCAAATTTGCTGACTAATGAATGTGCATCACCATCACACCATTGTAAAGATGAAAATATAAGTTGAACCATGGCAATGAGAAGACTATGTAATTGGGACTAAAGGACATACTTACCACATGAGGAGATACAAACAGCTGGGGTGGGGTTCGAATGATGTGGGCATATTGAGAAACTTCTCACTTTTAAAGTGGCAGAACCATACCATCAGCATTGGAAATACCTTAAATGCTTGGCTGATGTGCATTTTCATTAAAACAATTGCATATATTGCAAAACCATTGATGTTTGACTGCAGGGGAACCTTTAGGTTTAAAGGAATGTCGTGTTTAAACAGTGTTTGGGTCACGGTAACAAATTACCAAGCAGATTGTTTACGAAAACATCATCTGCAGATGTGTGTCTCACTTTTGATTAATGTTTCCTAATATTTTTATCCTATTCGTCTCTACTCTTAATTCCGTGTTGATATAGTCCATATCAACAAATTGTTTTTGTCTAATTACCCTATCCCCAGTTGTGCTGTTATTTCACATTTTTAATCCATTCTGTATTGTTGTTGGCTTAAAAGATTACAAAGCAGTGGAAACAGACTCTTGCAGTGCACTTTGTTTCTGAATATGCACTGTGTTTACAGGAAATACAGCACCTGGAAGAATTCAGGGTTAAGAATCAGAGAGTGCTGAAGCTGTGGGTGGGACGACTTCTGCTGTACTCATCCGTCCTCTACCTTCTTACATGTATATCTGTCTACTTGTGGTGTCTCCCTGAACAATGGACAGAGCGACTTATATTGGCTTTGCCATTTTTCTTATTTCCAATACTGTAAGTACATGTACGCCACTTGAAACGGACAGAAACTGGAAAAAATGTATTTGCATCCATATAAGGAGTTGTTTCAGTATCTTAATGAATTTTACATATATGTTAAAGATGATATGTATATATTTTTTGTACTCCAATGCTGTTGGTGCTGCTGCTGATTTTGATGCAGTGGATTATGGAGTTGGTGGTAAAATCGCCCTAAATGGCTCAGAGTGTGTTGTTAAGTTTGCTGATACCAAGTTTATCTGAACTGAGCAGATACCAACTTTAAATGAACATGTTGACCTTATTTTTTTCCCAAGGCAAGTTTTTAAGCAGCTTTTGCTGTTATTTACACATGTTAACATTTTGCAATTTTAAAATGACAACCTTTTCTCTCCCCCCTCCAGAGTCTGGTTTACCAGGAAGTTGTTAATTATTCTTTTTTCTAAGAGGACTGAACGGAACAGTAAGTTTTTGCTTGGTTTCAATCACTCTGTCAGTATAGAAATGATTGTTGGATGTTTTATTTTTTCTATTACGTTTTGACAGTGTATGTCATTGTGTTTTAGGGACATAATTCGAGCGTTTGCCTGTGTAAATTTGGATGTAGGTGTAACGCAGTCTGATTTGTCTTTTTTAGATGAAAAGTTAGATGAGCTCAGATCCCAGAAAAAGAAAATAGTAAGTGATTTTTTTTTTTTCCTTTCCCTCTTCCGCTTCTCCCCCCATATTGTTTTATTTTTGCTAGCACAGGGTGAAAGCAAAATGCTAATATGAACATAAACTCCCCCCCCCCCCAATGGAATCAGCTGTTATATACTATTAATATTCTGCTCATTTAGTCAAAATAACCCTTAACACATTTCTAATCTCCACAAGAGCCTTATAACAGGGCTAACCTTTTACACTTGTCAGGAATCCTTGTGCTTCCCGGGTGTCGTAACCCCTTAAATATCTCATGTAACCCATGCTTAATGGGGCTTAATTTTCTTGTGCCAAGGAGTACAAATCTCCTCTAACAATGATGTAGGACGTGAACGTGGGCACTAGTGATGCAGACCCTGGTGGGCCGTCGGTTCATCTCCTGTGCCTCCTGTTGCCAATTGGGTTTTCACAGCTCTTTGTGGCTAATTGCTAATCGCTGTTGCTAATAAATAATCTACAATCAATGTAGACGGCGGTTAATTGGCAGAGCGACTTTATTCGGTAAAGCACTTTGCTAATGACCTTCTTTGAATTAATAGCGTTAAGTACTAGAAGGAAATAAATCCAAGAAATTGCTTGTCATTTACTGTCATATCTAATAACTTCCAATAATTATGGCTGATGGATTTTCACACATTCCATTATTGAAGCCGGTGCATGTAATTATTCTTTTCATTATATGTAAACAATTAGCAATAGTTAGTGTTACTTTGAAATGAAGCAGTTAAACAAAATTAAAGTCGTTATGGCCTGTGGATGCTTTGCTGGCCTGCAAAATTCTAATTCCTTGCCTAATATGTTTTGCTCTGCAGTCATAATGCCTGATTTGTTAAATTATTGGAAAAAATTAGATTGCTTGAATCCATGGTAAAGAGTACTTTTAAAAACTGGGCTTTATAGAAGATTTCAACGGCATCGTTGTAGTTGCAGCGATGCTGGTTTTATAACAAATATTTACAGATTTAAAGCAACACCTCCTTTTATTCGTACATTTTTCATTTTCTATTTGTACATTCCGGCCACAATTGTCTGCAATTTTGTATCTGCAAATTTTTGATTCCTGTTCACTTTTACTTAAACCTTATGCCATGCCGCTGCTTTCTGGTATTTTCATTGTTGCAAACTTGCATGTCGTTTTGAAGCTTGAAGAGGTGATGGAGACTGAAACGTATAAAAATGCCAAATTGATCCTGGAGAGATTTGATCCAGACTCGAAGAAAACTGCTGTAAGTACTCAAATATATAATAGATGGGTTTGGCATTTGAAATGATTTCATAATCTGAAATACTGCTTCATTTATATGAAGGAGCTTGAATCCGATCTGGCTGGTTCACAGGCAACACCAAGACCAGGACAAGGTTAGTGATAGTCATTCATGGACTTGATTTAAGTGGTTTAAAACTCCTTTTGCATTGGCTGAATACTGAGAGAGTGGTTTTGTTGGGATTGTACTAACGGTGAATGTTCATGTTTTTGGTTTTTGTACGTAAATGTACTGTAATACCTCTATACTGGCCAAATTGATATATATTATCGATCCATCATCCATCCATCAAGCTTATCCCGATCAGGGTTGCGGGCAGGCTCAAGCCTACCAAATTGATATTAACTTATATTCACTTTGGGTGATGCATATTTGGGGTATCTAAGAATGTTTGTTTGCTTTCAGAGGTTTCATCACATGCTTTATCAATCATAATTGAATCTCTGTAGTGTTTCTTGTTTTTGTAATTTTCACGGGTGCTTTCTGGAGAAACCCAGACCCATTTAAAATGCATAATGGTAGTTTTATTGATATCAAAGGTATATACTCTTTATTCACTAATTAACCGTATTTTGGAAATGGCTTTGTTTTGTAGAACTTCGTCAACGCAATGTGACCCCGAAGCCACCTGTTATGGGGACCCCCGCTGGCTCCGCTGCTCAGCCCCCAATTGTCCTACCAGCCACCCCCTCTGGCCCACCACCACGCTCAGCCCCTGGTGGACCCCCCGAGAGAGGCCTGGCATCCTCTTCTGCTCAGCAGACTCCGCTGAGAAGGCCTGTGCCCCCTGGGAGCTCCATGGGAATGGGTACGTTAGCTGCCGCGATGGGTGGTGTACCTGTGTAAAATAGGGCTGAAGGTAACTTAGCGCTCAGATGTCGTGCCGGTGCTTCAGAGGCTACAGATGGACCTTGATGTTTTGAGCATGCTCTTAAAATGGCTGCAAGACAATTCTGTTCATTTTCATCCATTTATACGTATCGGATTAGATTAAGGCGTCCATTGACCTTGCTTTAGCAACCAGGGCATTAAGAGTAATAAATGTAAGTATCCTTTATGTGAATTATGAAGAGCCCGTGAGTGGTCATTTTGTGATGCTTCTTGCTTGCCCTTGATGGGGAGATGGCCATCATTACGGAACGCACGCACCAGATTTTGTCCATCTTTGAAGTTTTGTAGTGTCTTTTTTTTTCCCCCTAATTACCTTGGTTGCCTTAAGATGGTAAAAGCTAATAGAAAATAGAAATTCCAACACTTTACACAACAAGCCTTTGCAATGCATGTTAGACTTAAGTGGCTTAAGTTAACCCAGCTAACTGAGAAATCCTGCTTTGTGGAACACCCCCTGGATTTAAATGGATCAACACTGGACTATATCATCTGCCCTAATCCCAAGGGAGAAATTAAGGTCCTTGCACTTCAGAACTAGATTTGTGTCATGGTGATCTGTGTGCATTAAGTACATCCAGAATTTTATTTGCATCATCCCCCTTAAATTGGAATTATTGGCATTATTGTAATGATCTTTAAGACGGCAAGCAACAGTTCTTTTAAACTACGGCAGAAATCTGTCTTGGGGCTGAAACCAAGGAAGGTGAGGCAACGTGATCGGTCGTGCATTGGGGATGAGAAAGTGGGAACGCTCTTGATGTGATATATACCACAGTGCCTCCATATGCTGGCAAATGAATAAGCAGCGGGTATCTGAGACTTTGCCAAGATCCGTGGAGATGACAAGTCGTCTCGCGATGATCGCTCTTGATCTTTAATCATAGTAATTAACGCTTACCGAAACAGCAGGACCTTTCGAAACGCTGTTCTTGCGGGATGCTCATTTTAAAGTAATTATTAAAAATTGTCCCTCTTTAAAGAGTTTATCTTCCCTTGTGCTTAATGGTAGATGAATGGCTTAACATGCCAATGACAAGGCACTTTACCCCTTGTGCTAGTGTTGCCAATTTTTTTGTTTTCTGATGGGGAAGGACTGCTAGACCTTGACTGCCTGTAATGCTTGTTTTCTAATAGGCATGCACCCCCCAGGCCCCCCCCTTGCCAGGCCCATCCTCCCACGGGAACGGGGTACTATGGACCGCATCATTGAGTACATGGTCGGTGACGGCCCTCAGAACAGGTAATTACAGCTTTACGGAGACGGCGTGAATTTGGAATGGTTGTTAACTGTCACCCCAATGAATTTGTACTTTGGTTGGTAATACTGTAGGGTATGTGCATTCAGAATTAGATTCCAGTACTGCAAAACTGAAGGAGGAGGAGAGCTCCTAAACCTAAAAGAGCGTAATACGCCCTCCTTCGTGGGCAGCCCCACTGGTTTTCTCACTTTTGTTATGTTATAGCGGTTTTTAATTCGGCAGATTCCATCCATACCACTCGCTCCCCTGTTACTGGTTATCCATGGGTTACTGCCAGAATGGTTCCGTGTGAAAGACGAACTAATCCGATCAATTAATACCCCTTGAGAATGACATCTGAGGAGTGATGTCTCTGCAGGATCTGAATACATATTTTTAAAAAGCTGAAATTCCGAATTTGTAATGGTAAATCGGACATTAATCCATTGTGGTACCATTAGTGCAGAAAGCAGGCACTGGCTTGTTGAAAATTCTGCTCAGAGTTGGTAGCTTGACTTTAGAGCAGCCCTTGGATGACCACAAACCAGCATTTTGTTAAACGGTGCAAACTCCAGGGATGTAAAATGTACATCCTCTACTGTCTGCTAGAAACCGAATTTAGGCTTATGATTTTGTGACGCTGTTTCTTTATAGTTATGAGGTTTCGTTAAATGTCGTTAGTTCAGCTACTGCTTAAAAACTGATTATTCATATATGCTTTCTCATTTTAATTATGTTGGTGGGTATTGCTTTTATTTTATTTTAAAGTGTTTAATTTTTAGACTAAATAGATGGGAATTTCATTTTCATTCGATATTTAATTCAAGACATCACGTGGAAGAAACTGACTGATTGCAAGATGGTCTCGGAAGGAAAAAAATGCATGCACACACTTTAGAAGTGGGGAAAAAAGGTGGTTTTAATTTTCTCTTTAATTAAACATTTTGAGAAGCTTTGTGGGTCAAAGGCTGCGTTTTGATCCTTGCTTGTTCAGCAGGGGGTCTTATGGTGGAGCTGTACTCTGAAAATACTTCTCAAGGTTGGCAGGCCTGGAAATGGGGAAACTGTATGGTTTGTCTTGTTACCCACTGCGGAATTACAATAATAAAATCACTTTTTTTTTTTTTCCCCTTCCCTAGATATGCTCTCATATGTCAGCAGTGCTTCTCCCACAATGGCATGGCCTTAAAAGAAGAATTTGAGTTCACTGGTAAGATACGGGTTGGGGGGCGGGGGGGGTGAAATCTTCATCTGCCTTGCAGTTTTTGTCGGCATAATATAACTGGATCTAAGTTTTTTTTCCCTGGAGCTCGTCCTTTCAAAACGGGCGCATGTAGAAAATTGGGTGCGTTCACATTCACGCGTGTTGTCGTGCAGCTGTACGCCAACCATCTGATTCGTTTGGAAGCAGCGTGATGTTATTTGCTGGCCTTCTGACGCCTTTTCCGGCGATTCTTGCCTCAGCCTTCCGTTGCGCTTACTGTTACGTCCTGAACCCCGCAAGAAAGACCCGACCCCAAGCACCCCGGCTCCCAGAGTTCAGCTTCGAGAGGAGTTTACGCCCGGAAACAGCCGCCCCGGCATCGTCAGTCCTGGAGCCCCCTGCCGAATCCCCTGACCCAGGTACTCCCCCTGCTATTAAAGCTGCTGTGTCCTTTTGATACATTCCCACTATAGGCATATTGGTAAATAAAATACCGTTTTTAACATTTGCATTCAGCTCATCTTATTCTCTCTGGGTTCCATTCCCAGGAGTTGTTTAACTGTATGTGTTGCTGTGATTTCCCCCCCCTCCCCTTTCATTCACACCAATTGTTCTGAACTTCTTCTGTTTTAAGTAGCCAGACAAAACAAAAGGAGTCGCCCCTGTGTGTGGAATGAGGAGTCCTCTTTGTCTGTAGCTACAGCCCCTTGGAGTAAAGTGCACAGTTTCCATCAGCAACCAAAAGGTTCCTGCTTTTAATGCAACCTGATGCCTGATAGCTCCCTTTGACTGCATGGACATGTTATTTAATCAGCCTTTTAAATCCAAACCTGTCCTTATCTGGATCAATTCTGATAGCTGCTGATTTTCAGTAAAAATTGCCCATCAGGATGGATGTTTTAATTAAAACTTAATCTAGAGGTCTATTTAATGTGAGTACTTTGATCTGGGGAATAGGATCTACTTATCATACAAGCAGTTAAATCTACAGTTATACTTTGATTTTAATCGTTCATGTTATTTAAATCTTGCCTTACCTTCTCACTGCTGCATGTTGAACTGCCATGAATGCTCTCCTTGAATGATTTGGCCAGGCTTATAAAGTCCCCTAACTCAAAACGTGGCTAGTTGCCTTTATTAATGGTCATGTGTCTTAGTGGGGTTCACATGGGACGTCCCACAAAAGAAACTGGGATGCATCCTCTGAAGAATGAGTCGTCCCAGTTACTGGGTCTGCATACAGCTTTTCTGTAGACAGAGGCACTTGCTCTCAGTGAAAAATACCGCTAATCTTTGTTCTTGCTTAGATTTTTAGCAGTGAGTAGAGTGTAGCAACCTGGGAGATCAGGGCAATTAATTTTACTGTGAAGCAGTGACTGACTTTTGTGGCATCCTCTGCCATAAGGATTTTTTGACTGGCAATTCCTCCCTAACATTTAACATTTAAGGAACATGGTACATGGTCTTGGAACCCTCAGTCATCAGTAACCTAGTGCTCTAGTTTATCTTTATTACTCCTGTTGTCTTTGCATTGCAGTATAGCTATATGCCTCTTGCATATTATTGTTTTGTATTTACAAGAATGAGCCAGACCTTTTTGCCACCATTATTTTTCTTAAGTTTTGCTACAGAACCTTTTGTAGTTTTGCACTATTTTTTATAGTATGTAGGCCAGGGGAGTTTAATTCTTTTCAGAGGAAAGAACCTTGCAGTTAGACTAATGCAGACAGGGATCATTCCGGATGATAACTTTGCATCAGACTGGACCCTGCTCCAGTGGGATGAAGCGGATGGGTGCGGATTGCCTCTGGAGGGGGGTGGGTTTAGAACCCTTGAGCCACATTAGGCCCTTGGCTGTAAGACTGTGGAAGCCAGATGGGTAGGATTTAGCTTCTGTCCAGAGCTTGGCCTTGCACTCTGAGTGGGTTTCCCTTTGTTTTCGAGGCTGAAACTCCTGCTTGTGCGATCGGAGAGCTTTAGCGCTCGTGTGCCCAGCAAGTCGCTTCTCTACGTTCTTGGGTGTCTCGCTGGTGCCGGAAAGAAGCAGCACACGAGACCGAGCTCTGCATTCTTAACTTCCGAAAACGAAACGCACCAAACGATGGACTGCAGAGTTTTTTAGAACTTGCTAGCACTGTAGTGATAATGGGCTGTAAATATGTGCATGCAGCAAATAATTACCAATCATACAATTTCATACACCGTCGCTTAACTCCTTAACCTCTAACCATCTGACTGTTCAACCTCACCCTCTACCAAACCTTTTTATTATTCAGCCTGGAGTCGACAGACCCTCCTAACCTTTGAGGGGACATTTGCATGATCTTGTTGCTGTACATGTCAGATCCGGTGAGAGGTTAAAGGGCACCCCCCCCCCCTCGCATTTTATCATCTTTTGATGCTGTTTTGTTCAGTCAGCCTGTAAACCTCCATACCCCCTCCCCACCTTGTTAAGTTGCACATTTCACCAGCGTATTAAATACATACTGATGATCTTCTGTGGCTTCTTTGGCGCATTTAAGAAGGAGACTTTCTTTTAATCGGACCTCAGTGATCAACTACATCTTTGCTCTGGATAATTGGGAGCTCGAAGCGGTATGAAATCATAAAAACGTCCGCAATGCATCATCTGCTCAGGGTGCTCATTAAAGCTGGTGTTAATCTCGGTTTCTCAGCTGAAAAGGAGCCGGACGCTTCTCCCGCTGAACCAGGAAGCGTGCTGGCAGTGGCTGCCCAGGAGGACGCTGTGGCAGAAGGACCCGGAACACCAGAATTGGAAAGCGCCCCGTCTGAAAAGTCTGAAGAGGAGCAAGACGTCTCGCACATGGAGGTTGAATAAAAACCTTGTCTCCTGTGCAGAAATGAATTTGGTCACGATGTCCGTTGGAATGGGTTTTTAGATGCGTATGTTTACTTGTTACTGGTTAAGCCTTGACATGCAGCTGGGCAGTTGAATGTAAAATGAAATGGTAGCTGTATGATTTGGGTTAAAGGCAGCAAAACATCGGCAGTCCTTTCTTTTTCCTTTTGCCGTTTATTTATTTTCCCAAAGCCGCACTTGTGTAAATAACTTCTGCCAGGTATTACATTGTTATTGCTTTTGGGGTTAGTATTAGAATGTAGTTTTATTTTCTTTTGGAAAAACAGCTTATTTGCCATTGTCTTTTTTTAAAGTGGGGAAAAAAACGCAGAGTTTTTTTTTTTATAGTAGTTTACATAGTTTTATGCATTTGCATAAAACTGTCAGGTGCATTAAGTGTTTTCTCGCAGGCATTTAAATGTGTAATCGTGCCTTTAAGTATTGTAAGGGTATTGGGCTCTTGGACAGTGACGTAGTCCTCATGTTTACACAGTAATGTTCAGCAATGCTTATAGTCAGGCCCTCTCATTTATTCCTGCGACTAAAACCCTACTACACAACCACAAAACTAATAGCATGTGTGCCAAGGTGTGTTGAATCTAGCCCCCCCTCCCCACCCCAAACCATCTAAAATGAAATAAAATATTGTTTTCAAGCTTGGTTTGTGTGGGATTATTCACCCCCCTCCCCCAATATTTTAAATGCACCTAAAAATGCATGGCTGAATTCACTTATATTCCCACTTGTGCACATATTTTAGGTGGATTGAATGGTCTGCTATTATGTCCTGTTTTTGTATTTAATAAAAAAAAAAAATGTCGACTGCAGTTTTCATTTAGAAGCTCTGTTTTGTTTGGAGTGCTAAGAGAAGAGTTACACCCGCCCTGTATACAAAGATAAGCAGAATATTTTGCATTTCTCTGTGTTCATTCTAGGCCAATACAGCTCGTCTCTTAAATGTATATAAACCCTGGGGTCATGCTGCATATATGCTCTTTGACAAGACCCCTGATCCCAAATTTTTTCATTGAAGTGATCAAGAGCTTATTGATACTGGAATTCCCTTTTAGCACCTCTTCCAAGCCGAATATAAAAGGTTTTTTTTAATCTCATACTTTAAATGAATATTTTTGCGCATGCCATTTTGGGATAGGGTGGAGCATTGCTTGCTGTCTGTCTATATGCACTTTAATTGCTGGTCACTCCTCATCCATGATTCCAGTAGTGATGACTGAACCTTTTGCTCTTTGATAGGTGTTGGGCGCGTGAGACCATCTTGGGTAGAAATGAGGTATTAGGCATGTTAGTGGTCTGATTTATCGGTCATGCGGCAGCCTGTCAACACACTATCTGGCCGTGTCACCGGGCGGGACGCTGAGGGACGCGGAGGAGAACGCGTTAAGGCACATTCCATTTTCATTAGCCAGGCTATTTTAGCTTGTGATCATTTTGTTTTAGCTCATTGATCATTTCGGACAGTGTTAGGTAATGGTGCTCACTCGCAGGCGCAACCAATCTTGCTTACTTGACCCTCTTCATTTGCAAAAAGCGTGTCATCTCTGTCTCCAAGTCAAGACCCTGGCCTTTAAGATTTTTTTTTTCCTTCACCCCTACTTTTTTTTTTCTTATATACCCAGGAAGAGGCCAAACAGGTCAAATCAAATATGTTTCTTTGGAATTTGATAATGTATGTTTACAGAGACATGACCTCCTGTGCTCAGTAATGCATCAAAGTGACACGAACAGTAACCAGCCCAATCGCGCCGCGCTCTGTTTGAGTTTGACCTCTGAACAGTATGAAGAAGGAATAATGTGCCTCAGAGAATGATGCTTGTATCTCTCAACACAATAGTATCGTTGATCAAGACCGTGTATGTCACCGTCTGAGTGCATGATGCATGATAAATCTTAAAGCTATATGTAACCGGTCATTTATACGAAACTGACATGTTTTGCTGTCTGCTTTATTTCAGTGTCATTTTGTCAAATAACATTTATTTTATGTATATTTTATGGCATTCTCTTGCGCTATTTTTCTCTTTGAAATAACGGTACAATTATTTTTCCTGTTTATTCTTACATCAATGGAATTTATCATCTTTAATTTTACCCCCCGCTCCTTTTTCCACGCAATGGAAAGGTTCTTGTGAAAACAGTGTTCAGAGAACAGATGGTGGGCATGAAGACTATCTCACATTGGAATGAAACACGAATCCTTCACCCTTAACGTTTCACATTTTGAAAGAGTAAGCTGTTCAATTAGATATATTCACCCGTAACAAAATATGTATGTATTTTTTTTTTGTGTAAATCTTTCATTTTTTACATATCTTTTATAAGCTGTTGTTGGTCCCGTTGTCAGGTGCACACGTAATACATATACATAGAAATATTCGATATTGTCAGCACTTCACACGTCCTGTCCGGCAAAACCTATGCACAGCTTTCTGGGTACTGCAATCTGTGAGAGATATATATATATATATATTTTGTCCTGTCTGCCCCGAGAAAAGCACCCATACATACGCTGGACTTTCTGAAGGCCTCCAGTCACCGTTTGTCCAGAGGAAAGAGCCGTTTCTTCTGCTCAGTGTTATCAGTGAAGCGCTAATTGATTTCAGGAATGATAAATGGCACATATAGCCCAGAACGGCAGTAATTCCAAATGCAGTATGAAAATGTACAGCAGGGCTGCCCCAAGGTCCTCCGCTCTTCCCTCATCCATCTCGCACACGTACAGCCCGGGGCCCTTGACTCAAATTTATACTGATCTTTTATTTATACCCTGAAAATATGGCAGATAAAAATCATAAGTGTTCTTGATATTGTGTTTTGTCATATCTAGCAGGCAAGATTGAAATCCTGAGAAACAATTTTCTGAAGAAATGAAACAGCATGGCCTCCTGAACCCAGGAGGAAAATAACCTCACTATTTGGGCGGAATATGAAACAGAGGCGCCAAATAACTAAAATAGACAAGTGCAGCGGCCGTTTCAGTTTTCCATTTGCCGCCTTGAGGGGTGAGCACTTCGAGATCCTCGCCTTTCTTAAAGGAGCCTCTTAATGTCATCTCAACACACTCATATCAAATGCCATCATAATGTCCATCTGGTGCAATGATAATTGAAATGGAATTCTCTGTGCGCGGCTGCGCTGCCGTAATCAGCTCCCCAGCCAATCGGAAGCCAAAGACCACGATGGCTGAAATTCACTGTGACAAGTCGTTTCGAGCCGGAAATATATAAATATATAATACGATTGTCACAAAAGCAATTTACATGCCCAGGTTGCTTTATGAATATCAGAGTTCACCATGGGATGTTGACAACGGCATCATTATCAGAGTTGTTTTATTGCACTGCTGTCAGAGACACATTAAAATCAAATTAAAGATTTCAACAAGAGCTTGCCTCAATGACTTACATTTAGGATTAGGTTTTGAGCAGTTGGCTCTTGCCTATTAGTTCTTGGCTGCTTGGGCTCTAAATGCCACAAGACAAAGTTGAGAGGCGGTAATACATTTGACAAAAGGTCATCAAGCATAGAAGATGTGCTCATTTGAATGGAAATACGCCAGTAAACTAGTCAGTTATAAAAATACTTTTCGAAATATCATCTACACAGCTGTGCTGCATTTTACACTGAAAATATGTTTATATTTTTTAAATTGATTGGGGGGCTATCCACGCACCATTTTTCTGCGTTTTACCAGAATACACTTTTTTTTTTTAGCTTGTCTGTATACCAGTTTTCCAACCAATACAAGATAGGCGGTATCAAAATATAAACTTAAGGTTCACTGTAATTATTATCATGAAATATCTTGACTGTCGAGTCTTATTAGGGCATAACTGGGACATTTTCTCTCACTATAAATTCTCGGTTCTGTTTTAGAAAGAATTTAGCTGAAAGGTTTTCCTGCTGTGAGCCCTTTCCTTGGGCCCAATAGCCCCTAATTATGCAACTCAGACCAGGATGGATGAATAGTTAGTTTGGTAAGTGGGTTGGTGCTGAAAATGTCAGCCAGCAATTTTTGTAAACAGTCCGATATGGCACTGATGATCTTTCAATTGTGAAGAACACAGGTTCAGGAAACACAAACAATGAACACACAGGAACCAATAGAATGACCAACTATGGAACAGGGGAAGGGCAGGCACAAATAAAGAGACGAGGCTTAGACAAGGAATAGGTGCAGGCCATTGACAATGAAGCAAACGTTGGGAATTGCTATAACAAGAAACAAGTGAGGGCAATCAAGAATCACTGCACACTACAACACTAGGGACGGAATGGCCAGTGACATCTGCTGGCCAAACAGGTAAATGATAGACAGGACAAGGCAGGGACCAATCCTGTAGACATCTATAATATGAATAAGGTCATTGTAGCATTATAACTTTATTGGTTATTGTCTTGCCTCTGCTAGAATAACCCAATCGCTTTTTTAGTAAGGGGACGGAGACACTAAACACCTATTGTAAGGTTATTGCCCATTTTATGTATCTACGAATATGCAGAAAGTCAATGACAACAGCAATCACCCAGTAAAGGACAATACATATCTGTGGAGAATGAAGAAATGATAAATCCAGTAAAGTCTGATGTGGGATAATAACATGAAGCTCAGAGACACACAGTATGCATATTTTGGACCCTGGTCAGGAACGGGATTTCGTAAGCGGCGCAGTGTGGAAATCATTCCAAGCATCCCGAAGCCAGCAGGTTCATTTTATGGCTTCATCCATTACTGTACTGTCATTGTTAATTGTCTTCTTTTTACCTCTGCAGGATTCTACAAATTGGCCATATCGAAAGTGACAGGAGGAAGAGCATTAAGCACCTGACAAGATGATATCTAAGTTCAATTTCCTGCTCTTCACCTGATTTATACCTGCAGAAGATAATTTTCCTTTCTGTCATAAAGAGCTCTATAAATCAGCGGTACTTATGGGGGGTGCATGCCATGCTCCCCTGATTGGTGTCCTGTGTGTTCACTATTAGGGAACCATCACTGCCGCATTTTCCTCCTTCAAACAAAAATGATCAAGTCTAATACCTTCAAGATTAGGGCGATTAAGAACAAAAACAGGAACTGGAACAGCTCGATATAAGCCTCCATCTAAACAATCTGTGGTAAACTCAATAAAAGCGGGGCTTCTTTCCCGTTGACACCATTATCCATCTGTTTGGACAAAATTGCTGTATCATGGTATAAATCTGTGATTCAAGTGACATATCCTCTAAAATAAAAGGGAACATTAACTGTTCTATCTTCTAGAGGCCCTGGGACTGGCTGGCTATAAGCTCACTCAAGTGTGATGGCAGTCATTCTGTGTTTTACTAGACTCCAGACAATTATCCTTTGCTCCTCTGCCTGCAGAAGACAAACTGCCATGGGGTCCGCTGAAATGATCTCAGATAGATTTTCCAAAATGTCTGTCGCTCGATTGCTTCCATACATTTATTTCCTTTAAATAGGTCAAAAAGGGACGACGCTAATTCATAACGCTGCGCGTGCTTTAAAAGCATATGTGTGAATTCTCTGGTATCATCTGCCCGTTACCTATAGGGCTTAAGGCAGAGTGAGGTCCTCCCGCGGACTTTCCGTTGACACCGTATTTAGCCGCAGTCTTTCCTCTTCATTTCAGCTTCAATTG